TGTTTCCAGGGTGGCATCATGTGAATAAATCTGTTTTACTTGGAAAGAAGACTGAAATGGTGCTGCTGTTGACTCAAATGTTTCTAGGACACAGGTTCAAGAAACTGCTTTAGGATCTTAGCATTCACAGCAGCACTAATTCCTCTCAGCAGCTTTATCCCTGAATCCCAGAACTTGAAAGAGAAAAATTGGTGTGCTGATAGAATGTGACCAATCAGCCTGCAGAAAGCACTTTGTTAAGTTGGAACATCCATCTGCAAGGGGATCAAACCTGGTCTCCTGATACCAAGCCCCCGTCTGTTCCACTAAATGAAGAAACATGACAAGCTTTTAACTCAAAGGGCTCTCCAGGAAGTTACATTGATTATTCCAAGTTAATGCTTCCCCAATCCATCATAGGAAAATGGGGAAAGGGAATATAACAAGAGCAGTATCTGGCACCCAAGAAGGAAAATCCATTTGCTTTTGGTTCTTCTTTTGTCAAAATCATCTCTCCTCAGGATAAGCCCTCCTTCTAACTGCAAGAAAAAAAAACTTTTGCTATTTTTTCCATTAGAGGCTTAAGGCAACAATTATCTACTTTGAATATAACCCTAAAAGTTGCAAGCCATTTCAATTACTATGTTTTGTATATTTTAGTAGCCGTTTGTAAATGGGTTGGCTGAAAAATCTTTACCAAAACAATGAACTTATATTCATGCTATCTTGAAAGGAAGGCTGCTGAAAAACAGCAATGGTCCAAGCCATGGAAATATTTTACTGCATTATCGTCTGCCTCATTAGCTACTAGAATATAAGACACAGCACATCTCATGGGCTGTGTTAGAAGGAGCTGAAAATGCAGAAGGAAAAATATGAAGAAGAAAAAAAAGCAGATGGATATCAAAGCTAGGATCCCTGAAAACAAGAGAAATGTTTCAGCACTCTGGACAGAGCTGGAGCAACAACATTTTGTGCCAGAACTACTAAGTCACAAGCAAGCACTTCTGTTTTCCAGTCAATGATACTAAAAGAGAATATTTGTAGCTCAGGGTTGAAATGAGGGGTTCTTCGTGCTCTCTGAGCTTGCTTGTTTTCTTGCAGATGTTTCATTAATGAAGGTAAGGAGTACAAAGCCTTAAGAGAGTCCTACACCTGGATTCAAACACGCTGCCATGTCTCCCTCTTGAATCTTTGTAAGCCTATTAATACAGTATTATATATGTTTTTAAGACCATACATTGGTTTGTTATTACAGAATACAGGTGACTTGGAAGAAAATATGCAGTGTCAACTGTAAAACCGGAACTTAGTCCACAAAAACAAGAAAATGCAAGAAAGAAACTAAACATTGTCCCATCTTGAGTCTTTTTGGTATGAGAAGACAAGTGGAAACACTGTCAGGCTTTCAAGATGCTTACTATAAACTATATCAATAGACTTGTAATATTTTGTGGTGTGATCCATTTCCTAACCTGGCCTGGCCTACCTTGAAGAGATGACAGCTAATGAGGTGGATATTAACTAAATGGCCTCTATTTCCCTTTATTTGCGTATCTGTGGTACCATTGCTATGTATTTAATTTGTATATTTTTATTGTTTTCATTATCATCTCCAGGCATCCATTTAATGAGTAAACATGACATGAAGTTTTATCAAACCATAAGGATATATATCTCATTTGCATATTTTTATTGTTATATTACCACACATGAATCAAAATAATCTCAAGAGGAATAAATTAACAATAATTAATTATCTGTAGTAGAGTATTACTATGGAGCAGAACCTATACGAACCTTCCTGTCTTTTTATGCCTATCATACATGAGAAGGCTGTCAAATGATTAACATACACCAGTCTAGGAAACACAAGCGTGCACTGAATTTTTAAAGTGCAATCAGAAACTCAATTCACACGAGCCACTACCTACAGTTTCTTCCTTTCCCCAACGTACACTTTAAGCCAAAGTTTTGCAATTTGCTAACCAAATTAATATCCCGATTATGTAGCTGCATTGCAACATATTTTAATGGGTTGTCTTCCTAATTAATGCACTGTAGGAAACTGCTATACAGCAATTCAGGAAACATCAACAAGAGGGAGCATGTCTGAATTGTAAATTTACACAGGAAGGATTGTTTTATCTTGGTTGATTGTTGAGGAATCAAAAGTATTTTGAGCCTTGTGTTTCTTAAATCTAAAGTTGCTAAATATTGGTTTATTGCATGTATATGCTGCTGCAATCCAAATAGACTCTTGGTGGCTATTTGAATACTTGAGGACTAATATAAGCATAGTTCATTTTTTCTCCAGAAACCTGCTAATTTCACTTCTTGACAGACCAATCATGTACCCTTATACCAAAACATAAATGATTGCTTCACATTAAAAAGTTATGTCTAGGACCAGGAATGTTGGAAAAAGCATTCAAGATAATTAAGTAGAGATTAAGAATGTTCACACTCCTGTAAGCGAAGCCAACTCCAAACTATTCAATGTATACTCCTCCTCTTGACCCCTGTTCAGGTGAATTCAGCATCAAACTCTGAAGGATTGAATGAGACCACACATATGAACTGCTTTGTATATAACCTTAAGACAATAGTTTTAATTAGTCTGTTGAACTAGCTTCAGGTTGCCTGATACATAAAGTACTAAACTCTAACTTTATACAAATGGTAACTGTACATCAAAATTTTTGAACCAATTCTGCTTCTAAGAGATCTATGTCTGAAATGTCTCTTTTAATAAAATGTATTTCACCCTGATCAAATTTAATATTGCAATTGGTAGGGGAAGCTGAAACGTTAAGAGTAGTAATGAATGAAATAAATCCATACCACGGTCAGGAGGAAACTTTTATTCAACACAAGCACATTATTACTTTAAAAAAAGTATTTTCTAAAATAAAATTCCCAAACTAAAACAGCATATTTTTACAGTACTTGTCCTAAACAAAGCTTGTAAAGGCCTCAAGAATTCAGGACCTGCTGAAAACAAAATATACATGCAAGTAGTTTCTATGTAGAACATAAGTAGGACTTTTGCAGAGATTACAGTGAATGGTCAAACTCCTATTGAAGTACCTATTTTATTAATAATTTGGGCCAGAATCTCAACTTATTTAAATCCACGAAGTCCCTACTCTGGGTTACCAAGCTTCCATAAAGATTACTCATGAATAGTTCCATGGATTCTTAGTTCTCATCATGGTTCTAAGCTATCTCTAGGGTTCAGACAGACTTAAAAAGGAACTTAAATAATTAATTTTGCTCAAAGGAAAAAAAATCCTCTATGCTGACAATTAACATACCAGTAGGCTTAGTCTCCTACCACCAGGATGCTAGTTTTCTATATGAAAATATAGGAATATGAGATAAAGAGATTTGAAAGACAAAGTAGGCTCTCTATTTTCTAGTTTGAAGGAAAGAACACTTCCTTTTGTGCATAGACCCATGATGGCAAATCTATGGCATGCCTACCACAGGTGGCACGCAGAGCCACTTGTGCTGGCACGCAAGACGCAGGCAAACTTACCTCATTGTGCATGTGTATGCCTCACACCTGATTTTGGCTGGTTTGAGGCCTTTTTTGGCCTCCCAGGCCTGAGGAAAGCCCCTGCAGCCTGAAAAGTAGGCCCGTTTCATCACTTCCTGTATTTCCGGAACTACCGGAAGTGACAAAACGCGCCTATTTTTCAGGTTGCAGAGGCTTTCCTCAAGACTGGGAGGCCAAAAAAGGCCTCCAACCAGCTGAAAATCAGCTGGGAGGCTCAGTGCAGGTAAAGGGGGCAGGAGGATTGCGCGCGCATGCGCATGGGGCAAGCACGCACACAATTTTTGGCACAGGAGCCCAAAAAGGTTAGCCTCCACTGGCATAAACCTTCATTTCAGGGTTTAATCCCTTTGTCTCTCAACCTCACATAACAACTAACCTGATGCATAGCATTACGTATCACCAACCCCGGCAGGATTTCAAAAATAATTGGATAATTACAAAGTACAGGTAGTCCTCGGCTTACTTAGTGACCATTCAAAGTTACAACGGGAGTGAAAAAAGTGAGTTAGGTCTGTTTTCACACTTAGAACTGTTGAAACATCTCCATGGTCATGTGATCAAAATTCAGATGCTTGGCAACTGACTCATATTTATGACAGTTGAACGTCCCAGAGTCATGTGATCACCTTTTGTCAACGGGGAAGCTAGACTCACCTAACAATGGTGTTACTAATTTAAGAACTGCAGTGATACAAATAACAACTGTGGCAAGAAAAGCTGTAAAATGAGGCAAAATTCACTTAACAAATGCCTCACCTAGCAAGATGAATTTTGGGTTCAATTGTGGTTGTAAATCAAGGACTATCTGTAAACATTAACCAATAAAACATTGAAATAAATCATGTAAAAATCACAAAGCTTGACCATAGTACCTGCAGACTAATGTTCCCATGAGAAAAGGTATTGTGGCACCATGAATCCATTTGCCTAAGCAAAATAGATGGAAGTATCATTAATACCGTGTTTCTCCCAAAATAAGACCCTGTCTTATTTTCTTTTGGGCTCCAAAATAAGTGCACCCCATGCACAAGGATGTGTGGACCAATAGTATCCATCAGCAGCTGCAGCCCGCCAGTCCCTTGGTCGGTGCACTCTGGGGCTGCGCAGAGCAGAAGGCTCAGAATGGAAGGTAGGCAATCCCGACATGCCACGCAGGCTGCAGGAAAGCCAAGAGACATGAAGATGAGCCTCCCAGTCGCTTGCCACTCCAGCCCACCACCACTCAGCTTTCCCACATCCCACACAGTGTGTCCGGATCACTTGCCTCCCACCTCCGCTTGCGCCTATTGCTTGCACAGGTACTCAACTCACCTGTCCTGTGTGGGCTGCAGCTACTGCCATACACCATCGGCCCGCACACGCTCACTGCTGCCTATGCTCAACCCCCTTCACTAGGGTTTATTTTTGTGGTAGGGCTTATATTAGGCACACATGTAAAACAGGTTAGGGTTTATTTTGGGGGGTAGGTCATATTTTTGGAGAAACACAGTATTCTGCCATGAGAGGTAGACAGAAAAATCAGATGGGCAGCAAATTAAACCGATCAACTTCTTAAAAAAAACAATGTATCAAGAAAGGGCCCCCTCTGTCTTCTATATACTTCTCTATCCAATAATATTACTCATTGAATGTCTCTCCTGGGCAGGCTGCTATTTACAAAACGTTTGACAGCATTATTCATGCAGAGGATGGAACAAAAGCAAGAAGCCTCAACCGAGATTTGTATGGAGATTATTACGATAATCAGCAGAAACATTCAGTGCATCTAATCCTAATGCTCTGAACACCCCAGAGATGTTCTGCAGAGGCTAGACCCTAATTCATATACAGAGGCAACAAGGGTTTCAGCATCAACAGCCTGCATTGCAAATTTCTGAACATTTCTCCAGGAAAAAAAAAAAGGGGGGGGGGGGGTCTGTCGTTCCAATTGGAAATAATCTGTGTGCATCTGCAATACCAAGCTGCATCCTTCGGGGGTAGAAAACACTAGAAACAGATTCTGAGCTATTTCTTTTCAAGGTGAGTCACTTTAAATCATGCCCACATGGTTCTGCCCAGGGAACAGGCTATTTCATAGGTGTTGATTTTCCATGTGGGCTTGTTTATGTGCCATCAGGATATAATTAGGGCAACTTAAATAGGCCATACAGTGAAAGCCAAAGCCTTAGCAAGTACATACTTAACAGTCTTAGCAAGTATACACAGTATTTTCAGATCAGTCACTACATGCAGTTATGAGCAGTTTTTATAGTATGTGAATTTTCTGTCTGTCTACTGAGGACTCATATGATTTTCAGAATTTCTCTCACATTTTCTTCTGTGTACAGGGAGTGACAAACAAAAGTCCTGCTGGATCTAATGATTTGTCCATTCTCCACAATAGCCAGTTGGGTGTCTGATAAACAAAATCGCTTTCTCTTACATTTGCTCTGCAGTCAGAAATATTCAGTGCATCTTGCTAAAGCTGAAGACTTTGTTGAGCAAATTTGGGTACTACAAATAGTACCCAGTAACAGATTGAAGCCATCTAAGTTAATGATCAACACTGTATCACCATATCATCTGGCAGCAAATCCCATAAATCATGTATTATGTTAAGAAGCTACTTTCTTTTATATATTTCACTGTTTTGGGGGGATGACTTTGTGTTATGGCTTCCACACCAGGTGTCATTTTGTAAAGCTCCATCATGAAATATATCAGATGTGTTAAAATTCCAGTAACTTAATCTAGAAAGAGACATCTGTGTACAGTATCAGCCTTGCACAAGAAGATGCTGGAGAGATTCCCCCATTCATTATCTGCAACCAGGCCTTAATTAAGTTGTTGCACACATCTTTTAATGGGAGTTCTCCGATACTGTAATTACTAATAATTAGATTTGGCACAAGGTCTAGTTTTTAAAACTCATTTATTCCATCACTGAAGTGTATTATTTATTGTTATTATTATTAAATTAAATGTATAAGCCACCCAACTCCCAACAACCTAATAAGCAGCAATGCTCTACAGATGATACAATTTTTGGATCACAATAATTTTATAAAATTAAAATAAAAAGCACTGAAATAGATACAGAAACTCTAACTTGAAAGATCAGTAAATATGATATCAGAATGCAGCCACAGCTTAATACAGAACATTTAAAATATGCAAGCGTCAAGGTCCTAGGAGTTCTGCACTCTTATGATAACAGGTAATCCAGCCGCCACTGCTTTCTCTTTGTTGTACCACATATCACTTTATGTATTATAAAGAACTCCGTAATACTGTAATCAGAAGTAAACCTGACAGTTTGTTTTTATTCTAGTAACAGAGTTGTAACTTTTTCTTGTTAAAAAGATGTAAGTATATTTCTTATCCAAGATTTCAAATATATTCTGCATGAAATTCATAGGGCCCTATTAATATAGTGCTAACTAAATAATTATCTGACTACAAATATAGTAGCAGCTATGAGTGTAAATATCAAATATTCTTATGGAAAACCATTTTTCCAAAGATGAGTGGAAATAATACTTTCATTAAATTGTTAAGTAAAGTTAATCAAAGGATAATAAAGAAACAAATCAATAGATTTAGGCTTGTTTCTATTTCCTTTGACTCTGTCAGCTCCAAATGTTTTGTCATTTTTTTACAACTAACATGCAGAACAAAGTTGTTATTTTAAAAGAACAGAGCAATCATGATAAGAAACTAATGAAACAGCAAACAATGCCCTTGTATCAAACTGTATTGAAGTATATATATTATAAATCCCAATCTAACCTTATTCAAGAAATGTCAACTCTAAATCTGAGAACACAGAAAAATTAGGGAGAGTTTTACAAGACGTGTCTAAATGTGTAGTATATATTATGCAGCATAGGATCTGAGGCATAGTGGAGCTTCCATTCAGTTCTATGAGAATTTATACAGGAGACAATAAAATGATTAATCTGGAAACAACAGTTATGATAGTGATTTCCCCAAGGCCGCTCAATCTTCACAAAGCATTCAAATAAATTGACTTGTGCATCCTTTATATATGATTAAAAGGGGCTTTTCTTGACAATAAATTTCAGAGTGTATTAAGAGAATATAAGGAGTCTACTAATGAAGATCTGAATCTGTGCCTGGGAAACATGGTTAGCATTAATGGCTTGGACACAGGGACAGCATCACTATTTTAGTAAGGCATGCATGAACTTGCAGTATGTTACCGGATAAACCCATATCACCACATCTTGCAAACTCTATCAACAAAACCAGTGCCTGTTTGCATTCAAATATCTATATAGAATTAGTGTATTTCTTATTTCTGTATGTAATTCTTTAATATTATCAATTGACATAACACATTATAAAAGCATATGAAACATACCAAACCTTTCTCTGTTCCTAAGCATCATTTCAACTGCTAGCTGAATACACCAAATATCACAAGGGAGAATTGTTGCCTACTTGCATTTCAAGATCCACCCAAGTCTGCAGCCCCATTCACCCTGATTTTTGTACCCTAATATATTGGGTACAAATCAAATGTATTACTGTGGTATCCTATTCAACACTCAATCATTTTCAACTTGTCAACATTAAATCCAGCAGATTTCTAACAGAGAAGGGCAGATGATTTAAGAAAGCACCAAAAGGCATATAATATAGGGTAGAAAAGCGTGCTGGACTGATTATATGGACATCTAGTTGTCAGGCTCCTAAATATGAATGCTGATACCTGAAATGTGGACTATTTTGCAGTCCTGTTCACATATGACTCTTTACCACGATAGGAGTAACAGGGGAAAACATACAAAATAAAAAATATAAACCAGTAAGCAGTGCTTCAAAAAAAATACCATTCACAAATATAACTGTATATACACACACATACATAAGTGATTCACAACAGATAAAATGTAAAAGCTTCTCCCATATTAAGCTCATCTGGAAAATATTGCAATTGTATTGCATGCTACTTCAGAATAAGGGAAAGCCATTCCTTTTAAACTTTTATATCTGTGCTATTACTTGTACCAACAGATAGTCAGTTTAAATGAACATCCTTCTGAGCTCTACAACAAAACAGCAAAAATATGGAATATTTTTAAAAGGTGGAAATCTCAATTCAGGGTGGTTTTGCTTTGTTGATGTGAGTTTTTTATCTGTGTCCAGGAAACTAAGCAATATTTATGCAGCTGTGCTTAGGAGTATGTCAAGAAGAGTGATAGTTGAGCTGTTGTTTATGTTCTATGCTGGACAGAGATTGTAAAAGATGAAAAGCCATGGTCGTTGAGATAAACTCTAAGTGAGGACCATGAAGGAGCCAGAGGGGTAGAAATCAAGCGGGAAAGGAAGACCGCTGAAGCAATGGCTCAGCCCCTGTGAAAAGGCCCTAGAAGCCTGAAATAGAGATGGAAGTTTTTTATTTGGCAGTGGGATTTAGGACAAATGTAGCTACTATGTTCCACAATGACCCAAATGCAACCTAGCTACTTTTTATTTAAAACCAGTTGTGTGCATGGGCTTTCAGAAGTTGATGGCTCCAAACTACTTTGTCTAAAAGGCTGTAATACAGCCACATACATCAGGGTAATACAGCAGACGTCTATTAAGATAATATACAGAGTATATCCTGCTGGTCGCCCATTTTCATTATCCATCACTTCAAAATACTATGTATTTCAAAGTTTCTTGAAACAACAATTCAGTCCAGAAATTATCATTCTGTTGTTTGTTCACAGGGAAAATAGAAAAGTGAGCTCAAAGGGGAAATGCGTCTCATTTAAATCAAGTTTAGGACATTCCAGTGATTCTGGAAGGAAAAAATCAGAAAGGATCATTCTACATAAAGAACAACTTAAAAGGGATTTAACTAGCACACAGGTAGTCTTTGGGTTATGATGGCAATTGGGACTGGGAAGGGGGTGCTGCAGGATGGTGAAAGAGTAGGAACTTACTGGAGCAATTGGCAACCTTCCCTGCTGGCTTCCCTACGAAGTGAACAGGAAAGGTTGCAAATAGCAAATCCATAATATGGTTCCCGGTGATGTTGTATCAGGAGTCAGACACCCAGAAGATCAGATCGCAATTGTGTGACAAGGCCAAAACATCTTGAGGACCAGTTGCATTTTCATTTTTTCAGTGCCGCCCAAACTCTGAACGATCACTGAATGAAGGGATGTAACTGGAGGATTTCCTGTATTGTGCTTGATTTTTTTTTCTAACAAGTAACTGTTGGGAAGATGATCCCTCTGTAGCCCTCAGATTACCCAATTCATACCAAACATCTACCGTATTCACTCTGTTCAAATAATCCATGCTGGAGTGACAGAGTCTGCTTCTTCAAATACAGCAAGTAGAACGTTTCCCTGTTTAATACAGAAATTCTAGTACAATGGATACAATATGAAGAGGTCAGTAACAAAAGTAAGCATTTTCAATAAACAATAACATTTTGCACATATCCACAATATTTGTTTGCTTTGAGAACAAAGAAGCAAGGGTGCATAATAACTATTTTGCACACCAATAGAAACATTACTAGTATAGAAATCTCAACACTGATTACATCTGCATTTTTATATAAACATGATTTGCAGGATATATTGAGTAATCAAATAACATTGACATATCACATAATAATACTGAGAGACATTTAGTGCCAGTCAAGGCAACTGATAAAAATTGTGATATCCTCTGGTGTCCAACAGATTAAAAAACAGAACTAGTTGCCAATAGAAGAATTGCCTGCTTTTAGTACCGTCTCATATGGCATTTTAAAAAAACTGTTGGAAGTAGTCATGGTGATTCTTTCTGATGGTGGATCGATTCTGGTTCCAGAGTCAGTTCTGGTGGGTCACAGGTGGATCGGGGTTTGATGCATCTATGTGGATAGATAAAGCTGCTAGAACACAACAATAAAGAAAGAGTGAAGAAAATACAGTGAAAAGTAATGCCAAACAGATAACAAAAGCTATCATTTTTAATATCAAGATTTATGTGCCAAACCCCACCATTTATTCATTCCTGTTATTACTAATTAATTTCCTTTCAACCATTAATTTATTTTCAACCAGTCTGGGGTGAGGGTGGAGGCAAACTACTAAAATAGTTTAGGTTTCTACAACAATATTTTATTGCCTGCTTGATTTTTTTTAAAAAAAATGTAAACTTGCAAGCCGCAGTTCACTGATATTAATTTGTTCTCTGATCAATATATTCTGTCCAGTCAGTCACTACACAAACATCAGTAAAACATTGTTTTGCCAGACTGCAAAATGCAAGAAGAAAAAAATCAAATCATTCACAGCTCCTATGAATTAACTCACTCTAAATCAGGGGTGTCCAACCTTGGCAACTTTAAGACTTGTGGACTTCAACTCCCAGAATTCCTCAGCTGAGGAATTCTGGGAGTTGAAG